ACACACACACACACACACACACACACCCCAAATGCAAGTAAAAAATTCAGTCAGGAGCCATTTCCTTTCCTTATTCATCATGCTTTTTGCATTTGAGATGCAATAATTTCTTTTTATATTTCTTCGGGCCAGTTAGGCTCATTTTAATAAGTAATTGTAAAATACGCAAGGGTTATTTCGGCTTGGTAAAATGATTTAATGGACAGACTTTTTTTTTCTTTAAAAATTATCAGCTGGAGTTTATTTTTTAAGCCATAAATTTAACATCGCCATTCCAATGAGATCTACGACACTTTTTCATTGAAAAATGGTAAAATACTCTTATCTCTAAGTTTTTACCTGAGGAACTCACGTTCCTAGAAATCTCACTTAATGTTACAATTCAACAAAACTGTTCCCATAAATTTTGCTTTCGTAACTCAATCTTCTTGATTTGTTTAATGCATATCTTATTCCCCCCATGCAACACTTTTTAGCAGTTTGTTTTTATTAAAAGCTATTATAATAATTTTATTTAATTATTTTTAAGATGTCAGGACGGGCCTTGGTGTATTTTTTATTATTCATGCAAAATAAGAGGAAAAATGTATCTAGGATTTCTTTAAACTGTATGAATGTGTGCAGTTCACTTGTTTGGCACACATGTTTATTTTATTTTATTTTTTTTTTTTTGATCTATTAATCTTCTGAACCTCCCCTACAGTCGGAATATTAGAATGAAAATGAAGGGAAAAGTCATAACAGAAATATGTCTTTTATATATCACTTGTTTTGAGAACTAGAACATGGTCCCCAGATGTACACAGGAATATCTCATCTTCGTCAATATAACATGGAAAGACTAAATTGAATATCTTCTTTGTCTCCAAAAGCCAGACCCAGAGTCAGAATATGCTGTACTTCAGATTCCCACCCCCTTCCCTATTTCATACATTTCTTTCTTTTTTATTTATTCAGCATTCTGTGCTTTGCTTTGTCAAACATGCATCTCTATAAAGTGTGAAAGATAAGAGATATCTTACAAGGGTTGAGTATGAAAAGCATCATAAACATAACATAACCATTATAACTGTAAATGTAGATACATCTTCAGATTATATAGTGAGGATGCTTAATTTTTAATTTAAAAAATGTTCAAGTCCTAGAACTATTCCGTGCTTCTGAAACATCATAGCATGTTCCTCCAAAATGACTTCATGTTTATTTTCCAGAACATTAGTGTATAATTTAAATTGGCTTTACTCTTGCTGTTTAAGCAGGCTTATTCCACTTTCCTCAGCCACTGTAATAATTAGCAGACATGATCTCTAGAAATGGAAAGGAAATTATGCTGATGGCACGTATAGTGCCTTGTTTGGGGGCAGGTTGGCTTGCTTTGGTTTCAACACCAAGGTCATCCTGGGTACTAAAAGGGATAGGGATTTGGGAGTCATCAGATGAGTGTTTAAAAATTAATTTTGGGGAGTGCTAGTGACATTTTTTCAGTGAGGGAAAGCTTAGCATTAAATAATAGGCATTTCTGGTTTATGAAAGAAAATTTTAAAATAGGCATGTCTGCAAATATGAAAAAATTACCATTTCCAAAATAATGATCTGTCAACGAAATTGCAAAATTATTATGTGAATGAGCTGAATTGCTTTGTGTATCATCTCATAGAAATATGTTTTGCACAGATAATATGTCTAATAAAGACACGTTTTTAAAATCAGATTTTTTTCCCCCCAGCAAATAGCTGCACTGCAGGTCTCTCTTATGCAGTCAACTAGCACCACCTTATGGAGGATTGGGGGAAATCGCTGCTTTCTCTATTAGGCTTTTCTAAAATGCAGTAAATTGATTTAAAATAATAGTGATGATGGTGAAGACAATATTAATGACAATACTAACACTCTCCCCACCCTTCTTGTTTTTCAGGCATCAGATGCCAGCTCTGAAAAACTCTTCAATACTGTTATTGTAAACAAAGGTAAGATTCTTTAATTCTGAGCAATGGCTTACGTATTTTTATATTTGTTTCATTGTCATTGCCTAGGAAGAAAGAATAAAAAATAAATGGTCTTTTCTTTCTTATGCTGGAACTACTGTTCATATTTCCTGTTTTTGCTTGAGATGACTGTATTCTTTTGTGATGCATTGAAAACAGTCTATTTTAAAAGAATACATCGAGTCCTTATTTAAATTGATTTGACTAAGATATCACTACTCTCTCTGTGACTTTAATTTAATGTAGGAAGCAGTAATGGAGAATAATAGTTCTCAAAATGCCTTAACTTTATTGTTACTTATCAACTACCCAGCAGTCAGAGAACTATAAATAGCCAATTTGTACTGCAGACGCTAATAACCAGTGGATGTTTAGTATTCACAGTATTCTGGTCATAAACCAAGCTCTACTCTGCTGTGGGCTTTCTATAAAGTTAATAAATGAGCAAGAGGGCAAAATTTAAATATGTGCTATCCCATTAATTTCTTCCAAGCCGCAATATAGAGTAAGAGAGGCTAATGATATAGTAGTACATTAAGGGAAAACTTAAGTCATTGCCAATAGGTTTCTGGGTAGTTTTCATTTGTAGCAGTATTGTTGGAAATAATGAAATTGAAGGGAATGTCTAATCATGAGCTTTGCAAGGGTGTGTGATTTGAAAGGTGTAAGTTATATAAACAATTTGATCTTTTCCTGTCCACTGTGTTACAGTGATGTAGGTGCTTGCATGATAATTGCTAAATGAAGAAGGTGTGCTTCCTGTGTTACTCTCATTCTGGGTTACATGGAAGATACTTGGTAGCGCTTGCCCAGAGTTGGGCCTTCATAAAGTGAAATTTGAAACCACTTAGTTCTATAGTTGCCTTGGCTAGAATTTTTGCTAGCCGGTTAGAAAGACACATTTCCAAGTGCAGTTATTTTGAGCTCCCAGATTATTTTAGAATTGGAAGCAACTGCAATTTTAAATAGTACATTATGTTTAGAGTTCCCTTGAGGTATATATGCTTATATGATTGCTGTTACTCCCAGAATTATTGTCTTATTGAATTTTATCTTTTTTATTGCATAATGGAGTATTCCAGTTTTATATTTCATCATATTTTTTTGATGGACTGAAAGTTTGTATAAATTTGTTAACCATAACACTAAAAGCCCAATAAAAGAGGATGTGTGCGATTCATAGCATACAGCGCTCATATGTAAAAATGCATAATTGTTTATTGCTCATTTTGATGAGGCAGAAGATTGGTAGACAGTAGTGTGTCCCTGTGAGAAGGGGGGCAGGGAGTGGGAGGAGGAGGAGACTGAGATGGGCCAGGTCACCAAAAGATCTTCTGTGTTTCAGTGACAACCCACCGCAGCACCACCCAGGACCTGCAGCCCCACGTGACTTTGTCTTTCTTTGGCCAGTGTGCTGTAAAGCTTTGGAATGTGTTTCCCCTCTCTGGGATCAGCCCTAGAATGAGAGTTGGCTCCGGGGCCTGCATGGAGGCCGCCGCTGCCCTCACCAGGCTGAAAGGCTCTCTCTTCAGGGCAGACGAAGAGTGATTGATGACAAGGAGCACCCCTCTGCCTCTTCCCTCCTGCTTCTGCCCCCTGCTTTCCCTTCTCCAATCAAATGTTTCCCACATCCTTATTTGTGTTTACTTACAGAGTGTGATTTGTGGCATCTATTTGGTTGTGAATAGTCACCCCCTGACAGGGTGCCTTTCTTCTGAGCTGCTTTTCTGGGTGTGATTTAGTTGCCTTGAAAGGATTAAGGTTTCTTTGTGTACACTAAAATCAACATAGGCTTTTTCTAAGCTTTGCTTGGGAAACCATACACAAATAAGCATTTTAGTTGATGGCGGATTATTCCTTTGCCCCTTATTTCCATCAAAATGGCCTTTCTTTTCTCCTCCAGAGTTTCCCCTTAATGCCTTATGCTAATTCCTGTTGGTAACATGAATGACAAGAGAGGGAATCAATGCAAATCCAGGTGCTGCAGACTAGACTGACTGGTGTCCAGCACCCGCCCTCCTCCCTTGAGAGAAGGAGATTAAAGTGGGCAGGGAAGGGGGCGGGAAAGCTTGGGACAGTTTTGTTAAGGGGATTAGTATTCAAACTGCTAAACATCAGGAAAACAACTTCAAAAAGAGATTCATTGTGAAGCGATAACGTCAATAATTGCTTCGAAACAGGTGCAGAGTCTCTATATATGTGCTTTTGGTTTTTGGTCTGTTTTCTCTGGGCAG